GGGTGACTTTATAAACATTGATCACATGACAGTTACTGGTGTTGTAATTGGCCATGATAGAAAAATTATTGCAAAGTATCCTAGCTATGAGAGGAAACGGGTTGCACACCACCAGACATTCTTCGGATGCAACTTCTGACCTACAAGGATGATCTGACGTACATTTTCTAGGCGATTGAAATTGTCAAAGTTTTTAGCGGGTTTATTCCTAAGAAATACAAATCACTCGTACCAAACTTCCTCGCTATATGTTGGTATATGCACACTAGATATACTGATATACATAGAGCCATATATATCAGAAATTCAGAAAATTCACTTGATGCGAGTCTTTGCCTTTACATATAGGCCATACTTTAACGATTAATTCTACTTTAACTCACGAATTTTTTTTTTTTTTTTTTTTTTTTTTTTTGCCTGCAAGAACGCCATGTCTACGATGTCTGTTCGACAAAATACGACGTTTGAACGATTTAAGTACTAATTAAGGCGACTGCATTACTAATTAGTTACAATCTTTCTACGACTATGAAGGATTAGTTACATTGAATTAAAATGCACACAAATATCTTTTCAAAGTCATGTAGAGATGACCAAGAGATAGAAAATTTTTAGAAAACCGTGTTTAAAACTGTAACATTTTGTACCAAATGACTCTTCTAGTCAATTTTCAAGTTAGTTTTTGGCAAATCAAAATACAATATCGGGTAAATATTTCCCTTTCCTATTTCACAGGAACTTAATACATCAAATCAATGCTAAAATTTCAGGTGACAGGTCAAGGAAATTTTCAATTTTCAAGTGCGCCCAGGTTCCTGCCGAATGCCAATCAAAAGCGCCCTCGTTCTTTACAAACACCGATAGATAACGATAAGATAATCCGTGTCAAACACTTTTGCCGTCTGGATTTATCAATATAACTTTTTTGGACTCAGAACATTGTTTTAGTGAGCTCAGATTTTTTTTAAAAAATTTCATTCATATCAGTTTGTAATTAATATTGTTGATCAAGATGAGTATTTGCTTTAACATGACATAGAAAAATATCCAAAACTTATTTTTGATCTATTTTTTTTTTCACCTGTTTTGGTAGTGAAGTCTTCTTTTTTTAGTCCTTGTAATGATAGGATTTTATCAGAACAAATCAGGTTATCGCGACTCCTATATTTGAAGCTGCGCGCGCAGCAGCCCACCACAACTCCTCACCGAGTCCCTGTTCTCAATCTCTGAAAAAGATCACGGCGTAAGTTTACTTTTTTCCAGTAATTTAAATGTAGTTTAGTTACTTTATATTAACATGCCTTGTTGTCTATTGTGTGTATATATTGTTATTTTAAAAATGTTTTTTCTTAATTACTCGATTATTTGATATATTAGGATGATATTATTGGATTATTCGATTGTTGCATAACTGATTTCATTGATACTTTTTAGATGTCAGCAGAGAACGTAGACACGTATACTTTTGTCCTGACTAAGTGCATTAAGAGTAATAGTCGAATATACGTTGATACCCCTACTTATTAGGAAATTAAAGTTTACAAATGTTTGCATATTATTCATATATTTATGGACTTAATATTACATTATAAGTGTTAAAAAGCGTCTAAAGCACTCATCACAGGAAAAAAAAACAAACAGGTTGATTGGGGATAGGGGGTTACAATTCTACTTGGTGATGATTGCGGGTAGGGGGTTACAATTCTACTTGGGTGTGTCAACACATTCATATGCTTCAAAGGAAGTCTTTAAGTTGCATTTTTAAATTTTTATACAAAAAAGATAACGTTTATTTATCTTTTTGGGATTGCTTCTGTAAAGATACAAAAAATCAGACATAATTAACAGGAAATGCAACATAGTAGACATACTTCTTTAAAAGTTTTCTTCAAACAAAGATATTTTAGTAGAGTATATGCATACAAACTGCTGAGTTAAGGAAACATCTTTATCTTTGTAAACGTTATACGCATATATATATATTTCATATAGATTAATATACTTGATACATAAAAGATGACCTATCTTGGTAGGTAACACTAATTCAAGTGTAGGCTTAACATATTTATCAGTACAGGTAGACCCGTGAACGTTAGTATCATTTCTTTGCAGAGACAAAGAACAAATGTCCTTTAATATTAGTGATACTAGTAGCCCATTTCTTAGAAAAAAAGAAGAGATTTCCCTCGTTTTTAAAATTTGAGTCTCAGATTTTTATTATAACCATTATATTAGATGTTGCATAGAGCATGGAATCATCACTGAATTGTTTACGGATTTTCCCGTTTACCCGATGGTGACAATGAGCACACGGCGTGTGAGACAAGTCGACAAGGGATGCTTACTCCTCCATGGCATATGATCCCACGTCTGTTTTCAGTGGTCCAATGCATTTTGTGTTTTAAAATTTTTCAGGTTTTTATTTGTCTAGTAATTAGAAACGTTTGCTGAATTTCAACTTATGATTTTTTTCAACCAAGGAATTGAAGATTTAAGACATTCAGAAGGCCGAATCGATACCGACGGTGCTTCAGAAATATAAACTGTATTTGAAATTTTTTTATCTGGGAGAAAATTCCAAAAGCTCAAAATGTACGAGATCTGTCCCAAAAATAGCGTTTTTGTCTTTTTGAATCCTCTTAGAGATTTGTATACCAAATATCTATTATTAAATCCAATTTAAGTCAAAATAGTTTTTGTTTTGAATTTCATGTGAAAATTCTATCTTTAAAGGTCGCAAAAATGTGTATGGCTCAAGGTTAGAATATGTAAACTTTGTTTGAAAAAAATCGTATTTGAATGATAATATTTCTCATAAAACAAGTCAAAACTAAAAAAAAAAAAATAAATAAATGTGAGTTAAATAACACGACTGTCGTCAATTTTTGAATTCGACATTATCGGTTACTAGACAGAAAAAGTAAAAGAAAAAAAATAATAAATGTGAGGTAAATAACACGACTGTCGTCAATTTTTGAATTCGACATTATCGGTTACTAGACAGAAAAAGTAAAAAAAAAAAAAATAGTAATAAATGTGAGTTAAATAACACGACAGTCGTCAATTTTTGAATTCGACATTATCGGTTACTAGACAGAAAAAGTAAAAGAAAAATAAATAAATGTGAGTTAAATAACACGACTGTCGTCAATTTTTGAATTCGACATTATCGGTTACTAGACAGAAAAAGTAAAAATAAATAAATAAATAAATAAATGTGAGTTAAATAACACGACTGTCGTCAATTTTTGAATTCGACATTATCGGTTACTAGACAGAAAAAGTAAAAAAAAAAATAAATGTGAGTTAAATAAAACGACTGTCGTCAATTTTTGAATTCGACATTATCGGTTACTAGACAGAAAAAGTAAAAAAAAAAATAATAAATGTGAGTTAAATAAAACGACTGTCGTCAATTTTTGAATTCGACATTATCGGTTACTAGACAGAAAAAGTAAAAAAAAAAATTAAATGTGAGTTAAATAACACGACTGTCGTCAATTTTTGAATTCGACATTATCGGTTACTAGACAGAAAAAGTAAAAAAAAAAAAAATAATAATAAATGTGAGTTAAATAAAACGACTGTCGTCAATTTTTGAATTCGACATTATCGGTTACTAGACAGAAAAAGGAAACATTAAGAGAAAAACGCAAGGAATATGTCTTTGAAAAGCATCGAAAAGCGATGTCTGTCATGCAAATGGAGCAGCATGCATCATGAAATTGTGTTTATCTGCAGGATATGCCGTTGGAGACAACGAAAAAATTTAGTTAATCGGTTATAAGAGGAATATTTCCTGATTCATAAGGGAAGCAAATAGTTTTCAGATGCCTTGTACAATTAGGGAGGAGTTATTATTGGTGAAAGAACATTGATATGTACAAAAATACACAATCACGTATTCAGGTCGTACAGTAATACAAATAAGTAATACAAAGTAATTATGCTGCCAAAATTGATAGAATACATGTATTGCGTACTGCTTTGATTTTAAAATAATTACTTAATCATTAGTCTATATCTAAATGTTATTATAGCAAACACTTCATTATGCCTTAAATTTAAACAAAAATGGCATATGTCCACGGACAGTTAAAAACGTATTTGAATTAAAATTCTCTCTTTCTATAAATAAATCTTATACATTTTGAAATTGAAAATTTAGAAGTTTGAAGTAAATGTAAATGATATTTTAGGGCGTATCGCGGTTATTCGGGTGAGGAGGTTTGGGGTTATTCGGGTAAGGAGGTTTGGGGTTATTCGGGTAAGGTGGTTTGGGGTTATTCGGGTAAGGAGGTTCGCGATTATTCGAGTAAGGAGGTTTGGGGTTATTCGGGTAAGGAGGTTCACAGTTATTCGGGTAAGGAGGTTCACAGTTATTCGAGTAAGGAGGTTTGGGGTTATTCGGGTAAGGAGGTTCACGGTTATTCGGGTAAGGAGGTTTGCGATTATTCGGTTAAGGAGGTTTGTGGTTATTCGGGTAAGGAGGTTTGCAGTTATTCGGGTAAGGAGGGTTGGATCAAACTTAGATGACATAATGATTTCCAGTTATTATGAGTATAAAAGCATGATTGTATCAAGACTGTCTTTATCTTTTTTTTTTTTTTTTGGGGGGGGGGGGGGGGTCTTTGCCAAAGTCTTAGGAGGAAAATAAGTATTGAGTTTGAGAGTGTAAACGTTTCTAATCAACAGATCGATAAAAACTCAAAAGCTTGAAATACAAATCTGTTCTAAAAATCTTAATTGTTTTATGCTTAATTTAAAGTCCTCAGTTCAAATTTTTCAAAATGTGTTTGGAATTTTGAAAATTTAGATTTAAAAAATAAAATGAAACGTTTAAACATAAAATCAGTTTTGTTTGAAATTTTGAATTTATGAATCAAATGTTAATTTTTAAATACACTTAATCATTTTAGAAACTTGAATTGTTAAGTTTTACACAGACAAATTATAGTAAAGTTATTTATAATAAAAATTCCATGTTATTTTAGTCAGAGATGGCAAATCCACAAGCCCAGGATATCATCCGATGTAGATATTGTGAGGACGAGCCAGCTGTCTTCCATTGTATTCCGTGTGGAGATGACCTTTGTCCTGGATGTAAAGTCTTCCATCTTAAAAGCAAAGTTCCTTCTGGACACAACATCGTCCGTCTGTCCGACAAATTTCACGCAAACAATCAGATCAAAATGTGTGAAGTGCACTCATCTAAAGCGTACGAGGCTTGTTGCAAAGATTGCCAGGCCCCTGTCTGTATTCTATGCATTCAGGAAGTACACGGTGAACACGCCATCGGGAAGATACAAGATCTTTACGAGAAACAAAAGGCTGAAACCGCCGAGGAACTGTGTAAAATAAAGACCCAATTGAAGTTAGAGATCATTCAGAGAATAAAAGATTTCAATGAGGAAGAAAAAGAAATTAAGACTTGCCATGAAAATATAAGAGAGAAAATGAAGAAGCAAGGTCAGGATTTTATAAATCACATCATATCCATTTTGAGGGAAGCTTTGCATGAGTCCGAAGAAGACGAGAAAAGAAAATCCGAGGAAATATTTCATCAAAAAGAAGAAAATGAGAAATTTGATCAAAGCTTGGATCATTTGATAGGGAAATTTGAAGCGCTTACTAGGTCAAACCATCCTGCCGACTTTCTGTTGTACCTTAAAAAGAATCCTAACACATTTAGGGAATTAAAATTTCCAGAAAAAGTTACCATTGCTAAGCCCTTGTTTACAGCCGGCCGATTCAACAAATTTAAAAATAAACATCAATTTGGTAAATTCATCGCAGGTCAAATTAGTCATTTAAAATCAGTGGATGATAGCTTACAGGCTATACAGCCAACTTTCAAAAAAGTATTAGAGCGTTCAGTAAAACTCAGTGAATTAAAAACCAAAAGGGAGAAGTTATTGCATGTGAGATGTCTTGATGACAGATCAGCATACATCAGTGGTCGTGGGTTGAGAATACTACTGATAGACAGTTCAGGGACAGAGCTGGACAGCATTAGCACTGACAGGCAACCATTTGGTCTGGCTGTGATGCAGGACAGAAGTCTGATTTACTCTGATTTTGAGGATAAAGTTATCTATAGAATGTCGCTCGATAAAAAGAAAACAAAACTGCTAAATACTATGTATCACCCAAGGGGATTGTGTTGTTCTAGATCATGTGATATCCTGGTCTGTATGAGTGATTATAAATATTCACTGTCAGGCAGAGTGGTCAAGTACAGCAACAGTGGGGAGATACTCCAAGTGTTCCTCGAAGATCAGAATGGGAAGCGACTTTTTGTCAATCCATACTTTGTGTGTGAGAATGTGAACGACGATATCTGTATTTCTGATATTGAGATTAAGAACTCGAAAGTAGTTGTTCTGAACAGATCAGGAGAACTTCAATTCAAATATTACGGAAATATTCAGTCTAGGACGTCAAAAAAGGAATTTAAACCGCTTGGTTTAGCTACCAACAGTCTTGGTCACATTCTTGTTGCAGACAACGCCAATAACGCCATACACCTGATCAACCAGGATGGGAACTTCCTCTCTTACATCCTGACAGAGGATGATGGGATATCACGACCATGGGGAATTTCTGTTGACACGTCAGACAATCTGTGGCTGGTAGAACACACAAACGCTTGTGTCAAATTGTATAAGTTTTTGTCATAGCTTTGAACTTTTGTTTCGTGTACTGAGTATTTAAATTACTATTTACGAATAATTTAATTTTGTTTGTATTCTAGCCTCTGATTGGTTAATATCCAAAAAGGAAAACAAATTATTTCTATATAACCTGGTTTGGTATGGGGACACCCCCCCACCCCCCACCCCCCCCCCCCCCCGACAACCAGCTGAATCATCTGTATCCATACAATCCTCTTATTTCCAGTCCTCGGTATTCATGGAAAATTCCAGATTTAATAAATGTACCTTTAACTTCAAACAATAATTCGATCTTACCACATGTAAAAAACAACAAGGTTGCTATGCGTAAATATCAGTTTTTACCTCCCCTCGCTTCCCATCACTTCCGTTACTTCCGTTACTACAGTTGTATTATTGAGCGGCAAATTTGAACTAATAAAAAGCAACGAAATTTTACACCCATAGTTATTTAATGATTTTAAAATTAAATTATAAGGAATGACTCTAATTCTTGGTCAAATTAATCGAGTATAACCTGGTTTGGGTCAGTTTATGCTGTTTTATAATCCGCTTCGCGGAGTATAAAGCGTAAACTGACCGAAACCAGGTTATACTCGAACAATTTGGCCAAGAATTAGAGTCATTCCTAAAATACTATACAAAATATTTTGAAAAAACAAATAGAAATCAAGTTCAAAATTGCAATTTAACAAAACAAGGAGAGCAAACGTCATAGGGAGATCAGGTCCTGGGGCCATAAATCTTAGACGAGCTCACTTTTGATCTCAGTCTCACTTTTATCAAAGGAATTAATAGTGAAAAAGTGAGACTGAGATCAAAAGTGAGCCTGTCTAAGTTTTATGGCCCCGTGGCCAGGTACCAGTCCTTTTAGCCTGCCACACCTGCGTGAGTCCTTCTTGAACGAGAAAATGGATTAATCCTCAGAAAAACTCAATATGAAAATAATGACCCAAATTTGAATAAAACTGTTCGGTCAGCATTCAACCTTATATATAACAAGTTGTAATATTTTGCAAACAACTGGCCAAAGATTTCACGAAATATGAATTTTAATGAATATTGATATACATGTAGTTTAGCCATTATTTTCACATAGTATTGTCTAAGGATTTTCCGTTTGCCGAATTTTGACAAGGGACACATGGAGGCCGCTCTTTAGGGATGTTAACTCCTTCAGGGTACCCGGGTTTAAAATAAAAACGAATATACTTCACTAGTTTTATAGATTTTAAGGAGGGATTCTTCTCATAAGAACACTTATTTCTTATATTTAAAAATCAATGAAATTTTCACAGAATCAAGAAGACAATATCACTAAGTGATGGTATCATTTAGATTAAATTTGACCGTTTTATATTAGAGGCAAGGTCAGGTCAAGGTCAGTACCTTTTCCATGGGCATTAAGAATAAAAAAAAATACTGTTGCCATTCATGCGATGCCTACCTCTATTTCAATAAATTAAATGTTTTTCGTTTTGCATAAAGAGATATTGCCATACAGGGTCTATAAGATGATATTACCAAATTGACATAAATAATTGAACTAAAATGGATATTGGCTAATCCGAATTTTCTCTATTTTTTCTTAAAATTTTAAGATATTTTAATTATTTTTATATGCTTCCTATATTTAAATTTTTGTTATTTTCACATATGGTAAAGTCACATAAAGATACAAAATGATATAAAAACAAAAAGTTTTGACCGTTTGCTAAGAGAGAAAAAAACACTTTTTTACGGATTTTTTGCTCAAACCTGAACTTAGATTGGAAGCTTTTAAAAGTTAACATAATTGTAGTTTGTTTGGAAAATCATATTTATTTGATATATTTTAAAAATTTAGTCCCTTATTATTAATTTAACTTACATTTAAAAATTTTCTCCAAGTCTTTGATTGTGTAAAAATTATAACTAAATTCATTGTTCTATAATTATTTTGAGAAGTAGAAAAGAAGATATTTTCATACACCGCCATTCCGCCATTCCGCCAAAAATATAGTCCCTGCTAGATTTCAAACTCAGTTTACCATTTCTATTTGAAGTTGTACAATTGTGATGAGGAAAGAAAAATATGATCTTTTAAATATCTTACATCTAAATATATAAAACATGTAAGCAAATATACTTTGAACATTTCATCTACATGTAGTCAGAAACCAGACAAGAATCCCCTCCTTAAGCGTGATCAGGAATGGTATATGGATGTTTATGCTGAGTGGATAAGATAACCCAAACTGTACAGTATCAAACTCTTGGGGAAAATGTTGAGAAAATGAAAGCTCACATTTTTTAAGATACCCGTGACGTCGAAGATTTTACTGCACCGTGACTTCATGATATGTCCTGTTAAATCACCCAAAACTGATATCAATTTACAACATTTTGATATGGAATTTTGATGACCATACAAGTAAAGATTCTTTTACATTATGTGCGACTTTTGCCTGATTATGTCGTCAAATATTCTTTCTATGCAACAAGTCCGCGTTTTTTTGAACGGCCCTCGTATATCGTATGAACTAGGACACATAAACAGCATGTAAATAGGTGTTAATAGTATAATCATGATATAGTTATCTAAGAAATGAATTTAATTTTTGAAGATTCATGAGGACATGAACTACGACGCTTCACGCTGGCATATTTCATGAAGCGCGTTAGCGCTTCATGATAAATATGCCGGCGTGAAGCGTTGTAGTTCATGTACCTCATGAATTTTCAAAAATTAAATTCATTTATTATATTTACATTATTTTTTTTGAAGAGATGCTACAAATTACGCCATTCAATTTTCATTTTTAAAGCAAAACAGTTTGCACTATAGTTTTAACGTCAAGTAGGGTATTATGACGTAACAATTGAGATATTCATGCTCATTCATGGTAGTTCATGAGAAAATGAACAGTATTCTAATTTGCAAAGAATCTTAAGGAAAAATATTTGGAAATGTAAATATTGAGGTTTGATTTCGATCTTCTCGTACCTATCAGGTATTGGTTGACCGACTGATTTATTTCTACATCTTTTTTTTTTTAGTAAAGTATACAGTTTCTTTTTTTAATTAAAAAAAAATAATCATACTCATAACATACAGAAACAGTAATGAAACAACAATACTCTGTACACTCACTTGTAGTTAAAATGTAGTTTTAATGAAGTAGATAGTGAATTGTCCATGAATCGTTTTATTTCGAAAAGGCATTAATTGGCATGAAATTTGATGCAATGATTTGAACTAAAGGACTAGATATAGAATAATTGATTTGATCTTGAGTTACTTATTTTCAAAGATACATTGTAATTTCCTTTATGTCAGGGACGTCTATTTTTACAAACTCAATTCGGGGTGCACCAAAGGATGGCGGCTGGAGGGGGGTTCCACAGGAATGTCTGATTTTTAAGATTTACAATTATGGCGTTTAAAATGAGCTTCTTGGTGGTGGGGTTAGTAGATCCTGATAATAGATAAAAAGTATTTATAAACTGTCATTTTTTTTTAGTTTTCAGTGATACTTGTAGTCAGAACATGATTTTGAATTCAATCCTAACTCTTTGTTTAATACAGAGACTTTCACTTAAATAATTAATATGATTAAGATTTGAGGCTTGATTAAGCTTTTAATCCTGTCATCGCTATGATGAACTTGCTGGCAAATTGTGCTTTATTCAAGATGCTGACCGCTGTTGCATGAGAGAATCATCTGTATATCTCCTTGACAACCCTGCCTTTTAATTCATACTTCGCAATGTATTGTGATGTAAAGGGATATCAATCACCTGCAACATCGTCTGGTATCTTTTTGGGACGCTGAAAAACTCTTAACAGTGCTGGTTTCTTTTCTCTCTCTCTTCCTTTTTTTTTTTTTTTTTTTTTTTTTTTTTTTTTTTTTTTTTTTGGTTTGTTTGGGTTTTTTTTATTATGTTGTTTTTTTTTACTTGACATGAAGTTGTAGTGTAGATGTCTATAATTTATGCAATACAGTTTTCTATAAAATCTGCAAACATCTTTGTCAACTTATTTACTACATCTTGCGTATCTTTTAAAATCTTGTCAGGTATGTACTCGTTATTGCTCTAAATCTTCCGTTTTAAAGTTCATTTTTTCTTATCCTTGTGATGAATCGACTTAATCAGAACAAATTTAGGTTATCGCAGCACATGCGTCGCTAGCTGCACCTACATCCGCCTACTACATTTCCCTATACAAGTAGTCCATGTCAATCTTGGTTTAAGATCGCAAGGTGAGTTTACGTTTTCTAGTAAATTCAATTTCAATTGATTGATATATCATTGTGTCATTTATCTGAATATGTTGTGTTTTATGGATTATGTGAATTTTATTGTCCGTAAAATGGGCTTCAACATCAGTGAGACTACATGTCTATCTTACAGGAAATCTGAAGATAACGAACAGTAATCAATCTCAAAAATCCATTGAAACAATAACAATTTGGAGCAGAGCAAACACGGATCCCCAGAACAATAGAAGTGGGATCAGGTGCCATGGAGGAGTAAGCATCCCCTACCGACATATTCATAAAAAGAACGAAATTAATTTGCATTTTCTAGTATTAAAATTTATTTGTTGACTAAAATAATTTTGAAATGATATATCATACTGACATAAATCTGTATCTATTGGATTTGTAACTGTTATTGTCAGTCTAATGAGTTATAACATGTTCAAGAGACAGGCTACTTCTTTAGCTTACATTAACATGTAAATGAATGTACATATTTATATCTGTATATACCATTATAGAAATATCTAAGTAACTTCTTGTGGGAATTACAAGAAAATAGAGGGACATGTATATGATATGTTGTTGATGGACAATTTCAATGTATCAAACAAGACGTACAATTATTTTTAATTAAAGATTAATTTTTTTTGGTATAGAATTGGTGACTAAATATAATTCATACAGATTCATATACGTGTGTTATTGAGAATAAAAATAAAACTATTTAAGCGAGTCATTTATATAAAAAAAACAAAGTAGGTCTTATACTGATTCGAATAAGAAATTTGAACGATATATGCTAATATAAATCTTTCAAGGTATAAACAACAAATATCCTTCTTATCTCAGTTTATCTATTCCTATTAATCCTACATATAGTAGAAAAGCTCTCAGAAATGCTGACCGATAAATTTGCTTTAAAAAAATCCTAAAATAAAATCTTGCACGTGAAGCAATATTGTAAATTTAACTTTAGCCCTCTCCTAAGTTTTACAATTTTGAGTTGGTAAATTATTTTTTCAAAAAACCAGAGATAGTGATACTCTATATTATTTTATGTTCATGTAATGTCTAAACAAAAACGATTTTTTTTTATCCAAAAACACAACCATAGCCAGCATCCACTGTGGACTGGTCACACCTGCCGTGAGTCCCTTGGGATTATCGGATTTATGGAGAATCCCATGGGCAATTTAGTATGATAAAAAAACCTGTCTTAAAAATATGTATGATAACCATATGTAAAAAAAAAATGAGAATCGCCGGTAAGCAAGGAACAAGACGCTGGAAATAAAACATTACACAAATAGCTTGTTGATGCAAATTTCATCTGTATATCGGGTTTATATCTTCCAGTTTTCGATACACAAGAGCATGCTCTACCTACAAACAATTTCTAAAACGAGGCAAGCTAATGACAAACAAGTTTATGAAACGAGGATAATAACAGTCTCGATTAAAGTCACCATTTCGCAAGTTCTATGATCGATACAATGACTTTGTCAGCAAATACAATCTAAGATTAACATCTAACATTCTGTTTTGATATTGGATGTTTTATTTTTGTTTTTTGATATTTATTAATGTATAGGCAAAAATAAATGTTTTTCTATAAAATATTTGAATATCAAATTCACTTATATTAAATTTACAAGCATAATTTATTTAAGAAATGCATAAAATAAATTTTATGCTATTCAATGTTCTAGTATATAAAGGAAGGGAAGTCTTCTTCGTAGAATAATTTATGTAGTTTACTTATAATAAGGTACTTTAGCAAAACTACTTTTAATTACGTGTTCTTTCAAATATATTTAGACGTTTCGTCTTCAAAACAAGAGGTTCAATGAAATTAAATATCCTGGCTGAAAAAAAAAACACAAGAAAACGCAAAATTTGAAGGAAAAAAACTTCAAAGTTCGAAAAGCAGTAATTCTGTATCATAGACTTTTCAGGTTTTAATATGCAGGTTTGTGGTCATTTGTTATTGTTTACCTTCCCAGCGCTCTTGTTTAAATTATTAAATAAATTGGAACGAATGCAGATTGTTAATGATACTATTAACATGAATTATAATATGTTGATAAAAGTCAACAACTTTTGTTCAGTCTTTTGGGTGCCAGTCATTTTAGCTCCCCGTTTTGAGCCCTTATGTCGATGTTCGTTCTCCGTACTCATTCGGAAAATTTTAATCGAACCAACTTAGAATAATTTGGTATTTAAAAAATACTCAAATTGTACCAATCTAGTGTTTAAAATTTGAAATTTACATTAAATGTCTATCCCTAACGAACTTAAATAAGTTAACTATAGCTTACTCTAGTTAACTATGGTGAATACATTGATAATTTGATTTACCATGAAAATTTAATCTAGAACTTTTTCTGAGATTTTAAAGCTCAAATTTAATACTTGTAAAATTTAGAAATAGTATTATAATATAAAAACATTATTTCTATTTTACATAAAATGATCATGTATGAATCTGGAGAACTTGAAACAATTTGAAATCCAAAGTAAATATACTCTGATTAACTATAGTAAAAATTTTAACTCACTATAGTAAAACCTCGATATTATAGTAAACTATAGTTAACTAGATGATATTTTTGCTCGGGATATTTCAATATTCCAAATTATTTTGAATTTCAGAGACGTAAAATTGGGATTTACACTTAAAATGTAAAATTCCAGGAAATTAAAAGAAAAAGTGCTTAAGAAATTAAAAATTAAAAGAAATTAAAAATTTTAGTTTTTGTTTTAGTTTTTCAAAAAATCTAAAACAATTTATGTATATATATATATATATATATATATATATATATATATATATATATATATATATATATATATATATATATATATATATATATATATTACAATGTTTATTTTTTTTAAATTTCATTTAATTTAAAATTTCTAATTCAATTAAGTAATCGCATAAAATTCTACAACAGTCATAAAGTTTATAATCATGACCTTTAATAATTTGATCTCGTCTTTCAATACAGTTTGAGTACTTTGATTATACTATACTCCGTGTACCTGATTTACAGAGGGCTAAAAACAGATTTGACCAATCGACAAGGAATGCACATTCCTTGTAAGGCACCTCATCCCACCTTTGACGTTTCAGAGGTCTTTGGTTTTTGTCCCGTTTACGACTTGTATTGTTTAAAGGATTTACTAGTTTGGTCACTGTTCATTAAGGGGATCCGTGTTTGCGCGGCTCCGGATTTTTAGTTGTTTAGGTAGATTTTTGAGATTGATTGCTGTTTGTTGTCTTCATATTTCATTCATCTTTTCTTTCTTATATCTTAAAAATGTTAAAATTTGAGTACTTTAAAGTTGATGCATTTCAGTTTTAGACTTAAAAATTAATTTCTAAAATAGAGAATCTGTTAAATTTTTTAACTTAAATGTAAAATATCTAAAAATTCTTCTTTTTTCAAAAATTGATTATTTAGGTGTCTTGTGGAACAAATTTGGTAATGTTTTCTTTAACAAAATCCATGGTATTTCAGTTACAAATGTCAAATCCCCAAGCCCAGGATGTCATTCGATGTCAATACTGCGAGGACAAATCTGCCGTCTTCCATTGTGTTCCGTGTGGAGATGAACTTTGCCCTGAGTGTAAAGTCTTTCATCTTAAAAGCAAAGTTCCTTCAGGACACAACATCATCCGTCTCTCTGAGAGATTTCATCCAACCAATCAGGTCAAAATATGTGAAGTTCACTTATCAAAAGCATATGAGGCTTGTTGTGAAGATTGCCTAGTCCCTGTTTGCATTACGTGCATTCAGGAAGAGCATAACAAACACGCTATTGGGAAGCTACAAGAACTTTATGAGAAACAAAAGGCTGGAACCGCAGAAAAATTGTCTAAAATGAAAACACTGTGGAAATCTGAATTTACCCAAAGACTACTTGATTTTAAAGAAGAAGAAAATCAGATGAAGACAAGTCATAAAATTGTGAGAAAGAATATGAAGAAACAAGCCGAGGATTTCATAGGCCATATCAGTGCTATTATGAATAAATGTTTTCATGATTCTGAAGAAGATGAGAGAAAACAATCAGAGGCAATATCTCTGCAGAAAATGGAAGCTGAGAGATTTGGGAAAAACATAGATCTTTTGATAGAAAAATTGGAAAGTCTCATAGAGTCAAATCATCCTGTCGACCTAATTTTGTACCGAAAGAAAAATCCAGATATATTTAATGAATTAAAACTTCCAGAGAAGTTTGACATTGTTATGCCTTCGTTCACAGCTGGCCATTTTAACAAATCTCTAAATGAGCAGCAGTTTGGAAAATATACCGCGAATCACGACAGCCATGACAGTCATTTAAAATTATGCGATGATAGCTTACAAAATAAACAGCCGACTTCCTCTGCAAGCAAAACACTATCCATCAAAACTATTTTGGGGTTTTCAGTAAAAATTGGCGAAGCAAAAACTAAAAAAGAAAACTTATTGTACGCGACTTGCCTTGATGATAGATCAGCGTACATCAGTGGGGAAGGTCCTGGAATACTACTGATAGACAGGTCAGGGACAGAGCTGGATAACGTCAGTACTGACAGTAAACCATGGGGTCTGGGTGTAATGCAGGACGGAAGTTTGATTTATACTGACGGCAGCGATAAAGCAATCTATAGTTTTTCACTCAGTAAAGAGAAAACAAAACTTATAACTACTGAGCATGGTCCTAGAGGACTGTGTTGTATAAGGTCAGGTGATATTCTGGTCTGTATGGGTTTGTTTAATGCAGCAAGAGTAGTCAAGTACAGCAAAAGTGGGAAGAAGATTCAGGAGTTCCAGACAGATCAGAACGGGGAGAGGCTTTTTATTCACCCACGGTTTATTTGTGAAAATGTGAACGATGACTTTTGTATTTCTGATTTGAACTTTATGAACAATAATGTGGTTGTCCTGAACAAGTCGGGAAATCTACGGTTCAGATATGACGGGAATGTAGTGTTTAAGACGTTAAAGGAAGAATTCCAACCAAGTGGTGTGGCCACCGACAGTCTTGGTCACATCCTTATTGCAGACAACGCCAATAAAGCCGTACATCTGATCAGCCAGGACGGAAATTTCCTCTCTTACATCCTGACAGAGGATGATGGGATATCACGACCATGGGGTATCTCTGTGGACACTTCTGACAACCTGTGGTTAGTAGAAGAAGAAAACACCTGTGTCAAAGTGTATCAGTATTTATTGTAATTAATACCTTTATTGTGAATTTGTAGAAATATATTTATGCTAGATGAAATCCCGCGCAAGCGCGTGGAATTGAATCTATACTACATGTACTACCGACAGAAATAGTTTGTAGTTTCTACTGACAGCCTACAGGCTTATAGCAGAAAGAAATATTTTGTTCAAAATCTCGCATGAAGTAGATGTACGTCTCCACCCCCACCCCCACCCCCTTTTGTTTTACCTTGAAAATTAACAATTTCATTAATTGACGTTTAATGTGAAAATGTTATACTATGTTATGGATATTGTACTTCAGATGCTCTTATTTCATTTCCATCAAGGATAAAAGCATTGAATATGCACATTTACTGATAAATTGATTTGGGGGGAGGGGGGGGGGTCAAAATTCACAGGTACTTGGGTCTTGGTTTATAAATATGTTTGTACCTTACTGATATGTAAATAATGTACTTTACTTTTTTTGCATATCAATAAGGTACATAAATATTTATAAACCAAGACTCAAGTACCTGTGTATCAATTTTGTACGTTGTATCCTCCTTAAAAATTAGTTTAAAATACATGTCTTTGTAAAAGTTGTGATATATTATGTAACATTTCATGATTTGTACCTTGATCTTTAATGGAGAGAACTAATATAGGCTAGTTTTGCCTGCTGTTCAATCCATATTCATTGTATATACTTCTATGTATATCGTGAATAAAATACTTCTTAAACTAAGTACCTGTGTAAAATTAGCTTTTAACGCCCTATGAACAGGCCGAGTATTTGTTACAAAAGACTGTTTTTTTTTTTAGAAAAAAAATGAAATGTATTGATTAAAGCACAAAATTTTACATCTTTAATTGTTTTTGAACAATACCTTATTCATTAATTTTTCTCTTTACATGTAAGCTAGTTTATTACGAAGTACCAGGGACCTATACAAATTGTACTTCGGGTTCGTTGCCATGATGGTCTCAGTAAAGGAATATATAAAAATTTTACCGATAAATTTATTCGGAAAACCTACTACATACATGTATATATTTGTATTAGTCTTTCGATATATAAATATATTCACAACTTATAGTGTTATCAAAATATCAATGATTTACCATTATTTCAATGACCAATCACACAAAACCTTTTTTTATGTTATGCAGCTTTAAGCGCCTCGTTTTTTTTTTTACATGTGGCTCGATGCTATGTGATGTTCTAGAAGCTTCCGTCAATATTAAGATCGTTGAATGACGAAAATAATTTACACATTTCCCTTTTTAATCGGTTATAACAACTTATTTCTTTTATATCATTTAAATCAAGTTTTGATTGAATAATTCAATGATGACGTTTTACGAAATAAATAAACGATTACTTGTTGACAGTTACATTAAAAATTGCCAGTAACTTAGATCCGCCAACCGGAAACGCCACCGTACTCATGTTTTTGCTATTTCATGGCTGTTTATAGAAAATAAAAGTAGACTTTTAATTTAATGTACGATACTTACTATGCGAGTGAAATCTAAATATAGTTTACGGACATCATCTTGTATACAGTGTATTGTTAGGGGAGTAAGTAAGAACTCTGGTGCACCCTTTTCGGAGTTTATTTGCAAAATTTATTAATTTAGAAGTATAGATTCTATGCAAAATATTTTCAAAACAATAATTAATTTCGGTTCCATCATGTTAAGTATAAAAAATTAATCTGGAGGTATTGCTGGAGAAATTATTTTTTATGGACGTATTGTCAACTCGTACATAATATTGCAGTGTTTGAAGGTAGTAAAAACGCGATATTTTAAGAACTATTTCACAGATTAACTTGAAAATGAATAGGGTTCGTCCTTTTACAATGTCACATAAGGCTGAGAAATGATAGTGCAAAGGTCCTCTTTAAATCTTGCCCACAAGCTGTAACGGACACACTAACACACACACATACGCAAAGTAGTGATGCTATATCCCCTCCGCAACTAGTTGCGCGAGGGGATAATAAGGAAATAAAAAAAACAATTATATGTATTAAGAAATCAAATTAAAAAAAAAAAGGAAAATAAAAAAATAATGTCTTGTAAGATGAGTTATGTTTTACAAGTACGTTCTTTGTCGAGGCAACAGAGTATTGTATAGTTAAAGTAATTTTATCACGTATGAACATACCGATCTAATGTAGGTTATCGGACACTGGAAATCTCTTACTTTTCTTGAAAATTTAAACATGGACTTTATGCACCAAGTCAGATAGCAAAGGTCAAATAAATGTAGATGGGCATTACGTGCAGTACTCCTACTCTTATCTGCTTTTCCCATAATTTTGAGATTTGCACTTCTTATTTCAGTGACGATATTTGACAGTTATTATTGGTCATGTTATCAAATTATGTAAAGCCCCAAGGGCTACTCAGTAGATTTGATCACACATAGCAACCAAGTTCGTTTCCTAGTAATTTTTTTATATCCTTGTTATTTACTATCCCACCTTTCGCTAAAGCAAGGGGACATTAAATCTAATTCGTCTTTCAATCTGTCGGTCTATCCCGTCTGTCAGTCTGCCTGTCACAAAAACTTCAACTTTGGTCATAACATTTGAATGAGAAACGATGGAGCTTTCATATTTAACATTTACATTACATGTGACAGGACTTCCAGTTGTACTATGATTTTTGACCCAGTGACCTTGAAGTTTAACCTTCTTTTCAAAAATTTAATGTAAGTGATGACTTTTGAAAAAGAAAGGATGGTGCGTTCATATTTGACATGTGCATTACCTGTGACAAGACATTTCCAGATGTACTATAACTATTGACCACGTGACCTTGAAGTTTTTCCTACTTTTCAAAAACTTTAACATTGATGATAGCTTTAAGTTATCACCATTGTGAGAGTTTGTAAGTTATATTACATCTGGAAATGTCTTGTCACAGGTAATGCACATGTCAAATATGAAATACCCTATCGTCTCTCATTCAAAAGTCTTTTGAATGAGCGAAAATAGGATATTCATATTTAAAATGTGCACTAACTGTGATACGAACATCCATTTATAATATGATTCTTAACCCTGTGACCTTTACCTTGAAGTTTGATCTATTTTTCAAAAACTTTAAGATAGGTAAAAACTTTTGAACGAAAACAGATTGGGCTTTCATATTTGACATATGCATTACCTGTTATGAGATTGTTGCTCTGGTTTTTGAGTTCATTACCTTTGCCATTGGGTTAGGGTTACGTGCTGATACTTTAAATAGAATTTGCATTTTATTAGTTTAAATTCATGTAACGGGACTCAAGCTGAAATATATGTCTTTATGCGTTAACTTTAGCGAGTACGAGGGCTTAAATCAAAAGTAATGTCACAGCTGCTTTAAAATCTTTAATAATCAAAAGTTTTCATCACACCTTTACATACTGATACCTTTATCTATATTGATCTGACCTAACATTTCATTCAGATGTATCCAATACTTTATAAAATATCAAAATAAGCACAACGCTGGGGGCTAGTCTACCGCTGCTTCGCAAGAATGTAATGACGTCGTTATGACGTTTCTCTTCAACACTCATTTTGAATCTGACGATGCATAAGATTACGCAAAAAGAAATGAATTTCGAAATAGTATTTGGAACAAAGTTCAAATAATCTTAATACTACAACTCAAAACAAGACAGTGAATTTTTTTTAATTTGCAGTTTCTTAATATAGTTTCCAAATAATTTTATCTGTGGGCATTGCGGTAATATCACACGTCAAATGCGAATTAAAAATTTTGCGACTCTTATATGTTAAGAAATTATATTAATTTGAGGTTAGACATTTTTGTCCTGACGATTTAATAAATTATTCTCAATGATTAGTGTATCATTTTGTTTATTATAAGACAAGAAAATTTGAACAATTCTGCATGATTCAGTAGTGAAAATTGGCCTCACAATGTTTTTATAAAAATTGGTTTCTCAATGAAATTTATAGTGGAAAAAATGCAATTATGACTCACATATGGCCATATACTGTACAAGACTGGCAAAGAAATGTTTTTGGCAGATGTACTGTTCAGGGTGCACCTCAAGAGACAGAACAACTCTGCATAGAGGAAGCCTTTTAAGTAATTGAAGATATCAACATGTTGGAATACTTTTATTTTTCACAAGCAAGAATGTTGAAGATACATCAGACCAATGATGAAAAATATGACTTACTCAAACAGACTATTCTTGAAGGCTGACCCAAGAAAAAGGAAAGTACACCAGCTGAAGTGCAACCATTGTTTTCTGTGCTTGACAAACTATCCGTCCAAGATGATATTGACTACCGTAATACACTATGTGTCATACCGAAAACATTACGAGCAAAGATTTAGAGAAAAAAAAATACACCAATTACATATCGGAGCAGAGGGATCCTTCGTAGAGCTAACAGTGTGTGTACTGGCCTTCTGTGAACTCCGAGATCAAGGATCTTGTCTCAAAAGGGGAAACCTAAAAGGCAGATCCTATGAACCGATACAACATAAAGAAACTCTCATCTCGCACAAGATTTCAAACCGCCCTTGGTCTGTTGTAGGAATGGACCTATTCTTTTCACCAGTTAGCAATGATAATACCTCATAACAATAAATTACTTTCTTTCAAATTGAGAGACTGGAGACCCCACATCAGCAGTTCGTGATCAACAAGTTAAAACAGCATTTTGTTAAATACGGAATTGAAGACAAAGTTATCATTGACAATGGAACCCAAATTATCTCTAGCAGTTAAAAACTTCAAAATCAAGTGGCAATTTGACCATAGAACATCTATTCCAGTATACCTTAAGTCAAACGGGAAAGCAGAAAATATCGTTAAATCAGCAAAGCAACTTATGAGAGTAGCTAAGCACAGTAGACAATGTCCACGGCTTGCGGTACTGGATTTCAGAAACACTCTATCACAAGGAATCGAGGTTCAAGTCAGCAACTAATGAACAGCAGAACAAAACCATCGATGCCAAAGAAAGAAACATTACTGGCACCACATGGTAATAGGGAAAACAACATGGGAAAGAAAATGACATAAAACCCGCTATTATAACAGTACAACGAAAGATCTGTGAGATCTACAACCAGATGACAAAGTGGGTTTGAAGCCAAAATAACCAAGAAAATAACATAAACCCGCTATTATAACGTACAACGAAAGATCTGTGAGATCTACAACCAGTGACAAAGTGTATGTGAAGCCAAAACAACCAAGAAAATGACATAAAACCCGCTACTATGACGTACAACGAAAGATCTGTGAGATCTCCAACCAGTGACAAAGTGTATGTGAAGCCAAAACAACCAAGAAAATGACATAAAACCCGCTACTATGAGTACAACGAAAGATCTGTGAGATCTACAACCAGTGACAAAGTGTATGTGAAGCCAAAACAACCAAGAAAATGACATAAAACCCGCTACTATGACGTACAACGAAAGATCTGTGAGATCTACAACCAGATGACAAAGTGTATGTGAAGCCAAAACAACCAAGAAAATGACATAAAACCCGCTACTATGACGTACAACGAAAGATCTGTGAGATCTACAACCAGTGACAAAGTGTATGTGAAGCCAAAACAACCAAGAAAATGACATAAAACCCGCTACTATGACGTACAACGAAAGATCTGTGAGATCTACAACCAGTGATAAAGTGTATGTGAAGCCAAAATAACCAAGAAAATGACATAAAACCCGCTACTATGACGTACAACGAAAGATCTGTGAGATCTACAACCAGATGACAAAGTGTATGTGAAGCCAAAACAACCAAGAAAATGACATAAAACCCGCTACTATGACGTACAACGAAAGATCTGTGAGATCTACAACCAGTGACAAAGTGTATGTGAAGCCAAAACAACCAAGAAAATGACATAAAACCCGCTACTATGACGTACAACGAAAGATCTGTGAGATCTACAACCAGTGACAAAGTGTATGTGAAGCCAAAATAACCAAGAAAATGACATAAAACCCGCTACTATGACGTACAACGAAAGATTCTTTTGTATATATCAATAGCATGTGTAGATTCTGATTCTGCGTGGGATTGGGGTGTGTCGAGGGGCTGAAACCCTCAAGAATATTTATTGGTTTTAAATTACATTGTAAAGTACTCTAAAAGGGTTTGGACCGAGTCCCCTTCATCCAGGATAATTAGATCCTCCTCTGTGGAAATTTGATTTTCGCGAGAATAGATATCGCATTTCAGTAAAATTATTTTTTTTAAATATTTCATTATCATTTTTTAATTACTTTTCCGAAATGCAACACATTCTGACTGTTCTTAACGTAGTAAATTTTGATCATAAAACTAGGCACATTTCCAGTGAGATACAATGATATATGGATTTTTAAATCAAGTCTTCTCATCCCTGTCAGAAAGTGTTTGATTCTTTTTATTAGATATGCCCCCCCCCCCCAAAAAAAAATCCACACTGAATTGTGCTTTTATTTTAATCCCATAGGTAATCTATATAAAGCCATTTAATATTTTTACTCAGAAGAATGCGATTACACACTCAATTTTAAGCACTTTAAAAATAGACCTTATAAGTATAGCTTCACTGAAACTCAGAACTTTGTTTAGTACAAGATGGATCTGTATTACGCATGCACCCTGTATGTAGTTTTTAAAAGAATACATTGTTTTTCGATGAAGTATCGTCAGTTAAATACAAATGAAGATTCTTTGAAATTCCAACAGACGGTTGCGGGGCATAAAAACAGACTCCCCTGTATTGTTATGGCTTTTAATGTGTTTGAGACAGATCATATATCAGGTGTCCTTTGATAATAATGGTGCAAAAAAAATACAGATGACTTAAATAGATAATGCAAGAAACAGACGTTTTGAACATGAAATGCTAATTTCTTAGAATTCTGTTTCTTAGTATAAGTACTTTCGTGAAGACGTTTTGAACATGAAATGCTAATTTCTTACACTTTTGTTTCTTAGTATAAGTACTATAGTGAAGACGTGTGTTTTATGAGTTTTAATCTTAGTATAAGTACTATAGTGAAGACGTGTGTTTTATGAGTTTTAATCTTAGTATAAGTACTATAGTGAAGACGTGTGTTTAATGAGTTTTAATCTTAGTATTAGTACTATAGTGAAGACGTGTGTTTTATGAGTTTTAATCTTAGTATAAGTACTATAGTGAAGACGTGTGTTTTATGAGTTTTAATCTTAGTATAAGTACTATAGTGAAGACGTGTGTTTAATGAGTTTTAATCTTAGTATAAGTACTATAGTGAAGACGTGTGTTTTATGAGTTTTAATCTTAGTATAAGTACTATAGTGAAGACGTGTGTTTTATGAGTTTTAATCTTAGTATTAGTACTATAGTGAAGACGTGTGTTTTATGAGTTTTAATCTTAGTATAAGTACTATAGTGAAGACGTGTGTTTTATGAGTTTTAATCTTAGTATAAGTACTATAGTGAAGACGTGTGTTTAATGAGTTTTAATCTTAGTATAAGTACTATAGTGAAGACGTGTGTTTTATGAGTTTTAATCTTAGTATAAGTACTATAGTGAAGACGTGTGTTTTATGAGTTTTAATCTTAGTATTAGTACTATAGTGAAGACGTGTGTTTTATGAGTTTTAATCTTAGTATAAGTACTATAGTGAAGACGTGTGTTTTATGAGTTTTAATGGTTGTTATTAACGTGTTCCGCTATCAAAAGGAACGCCATCCAACAGCTGAGTTGCCAAGTTACACAATATCTAAAATATTATATGGATTTATTATAATCCTACTATATGTACAAGATTTGACACCTTTTTTACTGCATTAAAGTAAAAAGTTGAGTATATTCAACCCGACATTGTAAAGCCAAAACTTACTTTTTTGTCAATAATTATTAACAACAACTTTCTGCAAAACATGTGCATGATGGTCAAATATAGTTCTGGATTAACAGCTGAAGTAGCACCGTGAAAAAAATAATTATATTTTACATAACGTATATTAAAATCACATTGAATAATGACGCCATAAATGGAAATTCACAACACAAAGGAAGAGTTATCATACTGGTGCCTAACACTTGTACAAGAGCAAACATTCTCATCCCTCAGAATAAACAGAGTTTTTCAGAGAGAACAAATTATATGATGATGTCATCATACATTCAGCGATTCGTCCGTAAACTTATTTGTCTGTTCACAAAAAATCTGGGATTTTGTATTTTATTGTGTATTTTGGTATTTGATAAGCGTTCAAATACAGCAGATGAGTTACTGTGGCACCAAGGAGTTATCGCTTTAGCGGACTGTGATCGTGAGCCTCTGTTCGGAGGTTTGATATACGGTAATGCTGGTTCTGTCCGAAGCAAACGACTCTGTCCCAAGATGTTTTGAATTTCTACTGAAAACGAGGCTGGCGAGGACAAAGGCCTCGGCCGAGAGTATCTCTGTTTTCTTGACGGATGTGATGTCGAATGTGAAGTCTGTGATTTCGTGTGTGCTTGACAAGAAGACATCCGGGCAACAAAAGGAATGCTCTGCTCCGACTGTTTATCAACAGAAGCACTTTTGACTGGTCGCCAACGTCTGCTTTCCCAAGCATAACTCCCTACTGTATCAACAACACCTGTGGCGTGTGCACTTTTCGAATATGCATGGTGTCTGTATTTGATATCATTGTACTGTTGTAGTCCAATGGATGACTTTGTTCCGCGTCGGAGAAGACCAGGTCTTTCCTCGACTAATTCGTATTTGTTGAATACCACATTGTTAGGACAAGGGGAAGGCGTCTCGTATATGTCATCCGTGATTTCTAATTCAGCAACTCGCTCCTCCGTAAGTTCTACCCTCCTGTCTGCACTTTTGTCTTCGCTGACCTCCGTTTTTGATTGACCTTGTTCTGTTTTGGACTCGCTAGTTTCCGCCAGCTGGGAAGTACTCGATAACAGATCACTATCCCCTCCTGCCAATAGTTCCGCCTCATCCTCATCTTCCTCGTCACTGTACATCAAACATGGGGGTGTGGGAGCAGGAGGACGGCGCATTCGCGGAACACGAGGGGTTATTTTGTAGTACTTGTGAATTTGGTTGTTTTTCACGTCAATCATTTCAACCACGTTCAAGAGATCCAGTTCATAAGCCATTTGTCGACACGACAGTTTGTACTGAAACAAGCGTTTACCTGTCTTCTCTCGATCTTTCAAATCCTATAAATATGACGTGACTTAAGATTATTTAAAAGTATAACACTAATTATTAGAGTGACAAAAATTAAATATATACTAAAATTCCCGTGCACATACCAAAAGTGTTGTTTCGTAGTTGTAGTCAATGCCATTGTCAATTAGAAATTCTACCATTTCCATCTGCTGCGCGCGCATCGCTACCATAAGCAAATTTTCTCTGTACTAAAATAACAAATTTGAACAGTAGCAGTTGTTGGAAAAACACTTTCACAATCATGCGCAATTTAATTCATGAAAAAAAAATTAAAAGATTAATTAAACGTGTTGTAAAGCGAAAATTCCCCCATAGTGAGACTTCTCCCAGAAGTCTTGCTCTAGAGAGAGCCTCCCCCTTAGGGGGAAGTTTAACTTTAGAGCCATACTTCCCCTCCAGAGTAAGTCTACCCAAATGGGAAGCCTCACTTTAGAATCTTACTTCCCCTGCAAGGTTTGCTCTAGAGTTATATAACCCCCTTAGGGAAGGCCCACTCTAAGGCCATGTTTCTCCTTTGAAGTTTTGCTGTAGTGTGAAACACCTCCGCCCAATCAAGGTAAATTCTAAATTTGTGTACTTATTGGAAAGGAAAAGGAGGGTATAACTTTTTTTGTTTTCAGTAATAGTAACTTTTATACAAAAATAGTGCTCATGCTGTCTTATTAACCTTTATTTCATGCTATAGTAGACACAGGAGTACGATATAATTATCTAAGCCTTACAAAAAATTATACAACATCTTTCCAAGAGCTTAAAGGTTTTTAAAGATATCGCCCAGAAAATTGTTACGCATAGACAGAAAATCATCTAATCGGACGGACGGACAAACGGACGGTTGGACACAAATTAATATCCTCCACTTTAAGTGAAATCGGGGGGGGGGGGGGGATTAATACCTCGCTGTAAAGGTTTGATAACTATATTCTCTATAGAGTCACTGTATAGTACGAGGGGCATTTCAAAAGTTCTGGCAACTGGTGTGCGGTAAATTAATGAGCGTCATTATCATAAATTAAATTATATCAATCCCTCAAAATAGTCTCCGTTGACCTGGACTAGTAAAAGCAAGATTAAATGTAAGGGGAAGGCCTTCTACGGGGGAAGTCTGACTCTACAAATAGTAGTAGAGTAGGTCTTCCTGCAGGAAAGTGTGGCTCTAGAGTGAAACTTCCCGGGGGTTTTCCCACTCTGGAGTCCCCCAGGGGGAAGACTTACGACAGCTGCAACAAAACGAACTATATGTAATTCACATGATAAAGAAAAAAGACCCTTACCCAGAGCATGTTTATGTCAGCGTTCTTTTTGTCCAGCAGATCTTGGAAAAGGAGATATTCGCCATTTCTGACAGCATTATACATGTCCTTAAAAATAAACAGAAATTATCAGGACATTGCATAAACAAAGAAATAGCACATGCAATTTTTGTGATTGGCTTTGCTGCTTTAGAATAAATAAGTAATATAAGTATCGAGGGCTGAAAGGAAAACGGATCTGAGTTGAGTCCATGTGAGACTTACGGCAAGTGTTACCTTTGCGCATACATAGCTCGATGGACTTCTTTGTTTACTATACACTGGCAGCTTCATGAAATCTTTCATTTAATTATTAAGGAGCATTTTTAATGCATTTATTTTGAGATGCAAACATGTATACAGTTACATGGTGAATAAACGTAGGTTTTCTTTATATGCTCAAAAATTTCATTAACTCCTGAAAAGGAAGTACACATTATTCCTTTAAAGTTATCCGCTCATTTGTGTTTTGAGTAAGTCTAACTTGTATATTAGTTAAATTGTTTATTATATACAACCTGTTTGACATCTGAATATAACACTTTCCGTCCAGTCGCATTCTTTTCAAACTTCCAAAACCAGAAATATTATGAAACATGTAGATACTAGTATTCAGTGGTTAAAATTATATCATATTTTATCACGATTATACCTAAACTTTATGTATGAAATAAAGGTCTTAGGCAGCTATGAACAGCTGCCTAGGAGGTGTAAGCATCCCTTGTTGACCGGTTAATATTAAGTAGGTTACATATAATTATTTGACCTGGACGTCTTGTATAGCTATTGATACTCAGTATTTAACAAAAATCTTATAATCGCTTGAACAAGATTCTATGTTCCTATAGAAACTCAGTAGTTAAAATATCTTCTTATATTGATCGGGTTTCTGTTACATCTATAATATATATTAACATTTAGTAGTTTTATATCTCTTACGACTTGATCCAGATTTTCTGTATACCTGTGTATTTTGTATATCAATGCATACTTTAATGAGTTAACAGAACATCTCGCAATCACTCCCATCCTATCTGCTTATCTACAGATACTCAATAACATACCTTGACCCAGATCTCACCTCTTTCTCCTCATGTGTCATTTCTGTATCTTCCTCTTCTTCTATCTTTGTTTCCTCTTTCTCGACCCCCATCTGTTTTACTCCTCCATCTTCGTCTTCCTTTTCCTCTTCATTCTCATCTCCTTCCTCTTCGTTGACTTCTCTCTTTTTTCGGGGCCACAGCCACTTTTTCCTTTTCTGTAGAGCATATCTCTGATGCCATTTCAGTTTCGGCTGTTCCGTTTTAGCTTCTTCCTCCCTAGGAATGTTTATCTTGCCTTCTTCGTCATCTTCCTTTGCTGGCGTCTCGCATTGCTCTATGATGATGCGAACTTTGTTCTCAGCTGCTTCTTCTAATTTATCCTCATTCACAAGATTGGAAGAAACTTTTTCTTTTTCTTCGTCGCTCTGTGAAAGAACAGGAAGATGTATCATTTTCTTCGGCTTCTTCAGGGTTTTTTTTTTATCAACTGTCGCAACTTTAAACAAATGCTTAATTTTATAACATGACAATGACACTTTTGGACAGCTGGCATTTGTAAAGCACGATTTTTCTCGCCCTTATGTAATTCAAGGACGTGAGATCTTGAACTTTAATTGGATTTTAAAATCTAATTAATATTATAAAATGAATAAGTAAATGACAAAGCAGTGTGATATTTTATAGATAACCAAATAGTCTGCAAGATAAGATTGATGTTAACCAGGGCTTGGTTTTGTGGCTAGTCACTGGAAACACTGCGAGAGGCATGCAAGTCATGGGTTTTGAAAACAAACTCATTCTTTAAACATGCTGTGCAATATTTTCCTTACATCAATTGTTCATTACGTCATACATAAAGAGCAAATTTTATCAAGATGCGAGGTAATCTTGTACACTTAGTCCACTATTTACCTCTTGTTGACCTTCGGGTTTCTCCGTATCTCCGATCTTTTCCGACCCTTTTCTACGTGAGTTACGCCGGGAATCTTTCTCGGTGTCTATATTATCTTCGTCTTCACTCTGATCGACATTTCTATCCACGGCTAGAGTGTGCGTCGTTAATTTTTTCTTCTTGGTCCTTACTGCGCTTTCATCATCGCTGTTTTCCACGTCCCCTTCAAATGCAACCTCGATGTCGACTTCTTCAAACAATGACAAGTCATCTCCGGAGACAACAGACGCGTCGTCTATCACTTCTTCTATCTCATCATCACTCGTCGCCATCGTCTACTTCATCATCTGAAAGTATTTTAGAATGTTATCAACTGACGCTCGTTACAGAAAAAACGAGAGTAAAACATGTATTTGATACACTTTTCTTGCAGGACATACAACTGGACATTGTTTAGAATATTATCTAAAAAAAAAAAAAATAAACAAATTTCATCATACACATATCTGTATAGCAAATGACAATTTTTTTCATGATTCAGGGAAAAGTATTAATGTTTAGGATTTCAACAATCATTTCGGGGTATGCGATTCCTGTAACAGATGAAGGTATTAAGTATTCAAGTTCTCATGAATTTGTCATGCAACCAACTGGAATTCAGAGGGAAACTGACAGTAAATTTCTAGATGAAAACGCTACATTATTTATTTGTGTTTCTGGTTTCCGTTTAATAACATTTATTGCAAGGATTTCAAAGCCTTTCTCCATTAATGAAATAATAACAAATAAGTAATAGACATAAATTTTGCAGACAAACCCGGACATGGAGAAATCATTCTTCAAAATTTATTGCATCTACTGGTGTTTTGTAATGTATGCATATTTTACCTCAAGAGATTTAAGTCTTTTTTTTAAAAATACAGATACAATGAATAAAGCCCTATAGCTCTAAATATTTTTAAGCCAAGTTCTGCATTTACCTATTGCAAAGTGGTTGCGTGAATTTAATTCTCTAAGTCTTTGCTTTCTCCAGTGTTGTAAATCAGGTAATGTAAACTTTACAACAAATAGAAATTAAAATTACTTTTACTGCCAAATAGTTCATTAATTTTAATTGGATTATTTCAATGTCGAAATATTATTGAGCGAGACGTGAAATTGAAATAAATATTAATGAAAAGAATAAAAATTTATCGCTGCAATACACAGCATTATCTGTAATTTAAATCCACGCCGTTCTTCGCTTAAGGACTGTCCCACAGGTAATTGGATTTCACTCGTCTGTATTTTAAATATCTAACGACACTGAAGTGGTATTTCGGTGTGAATTTCAATGCATAATTTATGGCATTCAAACATCCTTGAATACATAGAGACCTGAATGTGATTGTTAAAGAAAAACATTCTACCGACCAAGATTTCAGATCTCAGCTGGCACGTTCCCTCAAAACTTGAACAGCCAGGTCCTCTAAGTTATTTCAATAGCTGTGTATAAATATCAACCTCAGAGAATTAAAAAGTGTTAAGTCAAGGATTAAAATAAATATCTGTCACAGCTTTTATAAAAGAGAGTACAGAGGCATTGGTCTGTGAGATTAAAAAGGATTGCATATAAATATGCAGTAATTTGTCATATAAGGACTACAATTATAGGAACATCAAAGAATTCAATGTGTACAATTAACTAAATGACATATGTAAATTGTGATAGATATATTACAAGTCCTTACATAAAATACACCATATTTGGAATTTGTTACATAAAAATACATGATATCCCTAATTTGTTATTTCACTTGTCAGGAGCAAAACATTTGGGAGCAAAAAGTAACTTAAGGCATGTCAGAATATCACAGGAAAGTAAGATATATCACAGAATATCACAGTAAAGTAAAACATATCACAATGTCACAGGAAAGTAAAACATATCAGAATATCTCAAGAAAGTAAAACATATCAGAATATCTCAGGAAAGTAAAACATATCAGAATATCTCAAGAAAGTAAAACATATCAGAATATCTCAGGGAAGTAAAACATATCAGAATACCTCAGGAAAGTAATACATATCAGAATACCTCAAGAAAGTAAAACATATCAGAATATCTCAGGAAAGTAATACATATCAGAATATCTCAAGAAAGTAAAACATATCAGAATATCTCAAGAAAGTAAAACATATCAGAATATCTCAAGAAAGTAAAGCATATCAGAATATCTCAGGAAAGTAAGACATATCAGAATATCTCAAGAAAGTAAAACATATCAGAATATCTCAGGAAAGTAAGACATATCAGAATACCTCAGGAAAGTAAGACATATCAGAATATCTCAAGAAAGTAAAACATATCAGAATATCTCAAGAAAGTAAGACATATCAGAATATCTCAAGAAAGTAAGACATATCAGAATATCTCAAGAAAGTAAAACATATCAGAATATCTCAGGAAAGTAAGACATATCAGAATACCTCAGGAAAGTAAGACATATCAGAATATCTCAAGAAAGTAAAACATATCAGAATATCTCAGGAAAGTAAGACATATCAGAATACCCCTGGAAAGTAAGACATATCAGAATACCCCTGGAAAGTAAAACATATCAGAATACCCCTGGAAAATAAGACATATCAGAATACCCCTGGAAAGTAAAACATATCAGAATACCCCAGGAAAGTAAGACATATCAGAATATCTCAGGAAAGTAAACATATCAGAATATCTCAAGAAAGTAAAACATATCAGAATATCTCAAGGAAGTAAAACATATCAGAATATCTCAGGAAAGTAAGACATATCAGAATATCTCAGGAATCTCAGGAAAGTAAGACATATCAGAATATCTCAGGAATCTCAGGAAAGTAAGACATATCAGAATATCTCAGGAAAGTAAAACATATCACAATATCACAGGAAAGTAAAACATATCAGAATATCTCAGGAAAGTAAGACATATCAGAATATCTCAGGAAAGTAAACATATCAGAATATCTCAAGAAAGTAAAACATATCAGAATATCTCAAGAAAGTAAAACATATCAGAATATCTCAGGAAAGTAAAACATATCAGAATATCTCAGGAAAGTAAGACATATCAGAATATCTCAGGAAAGTAAACATATCAGAATATCACAGGAAAGTAAGACATATCAGAATATCTCAGGAATCTCAGGAAAGTAAGACATATCAGAATATCTCAAGAAAGTAAAACATATCAGAATATCACAGGAAAGTAAAACATATCAGAATATCTCAAGAAAGTAAAACATATCAGAATATCTCAGGAAAGTAAAACATATCAGAATATCACAGGAAAGTAAGACATATCAGAATATCTCAGGAATCTCAGGAAAGTAAGACATATCAGAATATCTCAAGAAAGTAAAACATATCAGAATATCACAGGAAAGTAAGACATATCAGAATATCTCAGGAATCTCAGGAAAGTAAAACATATCAGATTATCTCAGGAAAGTAAGACATATCAGAATATCTCAGGAATCTCAGGAAAGTAAAACATATCAGAATATCTCAAGAAAGTAAAACATATCAGAATATCTCAGGAAAGTAAAACATATCAGAATATCTCAAGAAAGTAAAACATATCAGAATATCTCAAGAAAGTAAAACATATCAGAATATCTCAGGGAAGTAAAACATATCAGAATATCTCAGGAAAGTAAACATATCAGAATATCTCAAGAAAGTAAAACATATCAGAATATCTCAAGAAAGTAAAACATATCAGAATATCTCAAGAAAGTAAAACATATCAGAATATCTCAAGAAAGTAAAACATATCAGAATATCTCAAGAAAGTAAAACATATCAGAATATCTCAAGAAAGTAAAATATATCAGAATATCTCAGGAAATTAAGACAAATCAGAATATCTCAGGAAAGTAAATTATGTCAGAATACCTCAGGAAAGTAAAACATGTCAGAATATCTCAAGAAAGTAAAACATATCAGAATACCTCAGGAAAGTAAAACATGTCAGAATATCTTAGGAAAGTAAGACATATCAGAATATCTCAGGAAAGTAAAACATATCAGAATACCTCAGGACGATCCCAGGATTTCAAAACATACATATCTGTGATTTGTTATATCTGTAATTTGTTATATCTGTAATTTGTTATCTGTAATTTTTTTATCTGTATATATCATTAATTAGTTACTTCTTTAATTCGCTACATTTGTAATTCAAAAGATCGGATGGTTGTTAATCTATTTATGAATTAATATTGTCCAATGAACGCATTTTTATCCTCTTTTTTCTTCCCCACAGCAGAGCAGTTTTGATCTTCAGATTTGCGAATAATTGTCAAGTGTAAATTCTAATAACTACTGAAGTCTGAAGTATTTGATGAAGTAATATAATTACTACTTATGATAATTATATGTTCCTATAGTGTATGATATTTTAGAATTCTTAAAAAGTCTGCTTCATGTGGTGATGGATAAAAACTTATAATGCAGTTAAGGAATATGATCTAACTTAGCACTAAACAACAAAAGCCCCTACCTTCGATTCGTACCTGATAGTCCCATATAAAGTACAAGTCCATAATCGAATACCATTTATTGTTGGCAGCTTGGTTTATTGACAGCTGTTATTTATATTCCATTAAGTTTTAATTGAGAACTTAAAGATCGATCTGAGATAGTGTGACGGAGACGTCAATAGGGGGACGATTGATCTGACACTTACCTCCACACTTTAGATCCACGCCTTGTCCCTCCTCTCCATGACTTTGTTGACCGGGTCTCTAACAGGTGCTCGTCGGTACAATAACTGATGGGTCACTTTTTTACCGTTTTAAAGTAAACTCCACAGAATTGATTTTCGGCTGGAGTGTATTGATTGTTGGTGGCCTACAGGTAGAAACGCAAACAGGTAGACACGCAGGGGGATTCCGGGGTGTTATGCCGCCAACAGAAACTACAGACTTTCTACAAATTTTCAATTAAAACCCTTTTATGTACATAAAAAAGGACTAGCTTCCAGAGTGCTGTTTATCTTGTTGGCGGCGTGAATAGATATAGGCCGGCTTGGCTGAACACTCTAAATCTTTAACAGTGTTATCGGCAATGCCACGGCGGTCAGAGATTATGGTATTCAATCCGACGAAGAAAAATACTCAACTGTTCATTTAAATGTTCTAATATGTAGTGACAAAGAGTTTGATACGAAGGTATTATGCCACACTATTGATAATTTAATTCTAGCTGCATATTTGGATGCCCCCTTTAAACCCCCTATTCTTCGGCTGTACGAGTGCGATACAATAGGTTACTTAAGTTTACGTAAGGAATTAATACACGATCTAACGACTAGCACTTGACAGATGTTAAAGTGATATCTAGTAATATTTTTTCCTTTGATGTTAATGCATTCGCCAGATGTAGAAAAGATAATGATATTTTTATTCTGAGAACATCTGCAATGGATTTATTCCATCGCTGTTTAATAAATTTGCAACATTGAAGTTTCTTTATATATTCTTTCCTTTTCAATAAATTCATTTTCAACGTATTGACGTGGGTATTAGTGCTTCTATGTAAATTCTATGTGTAACAAGTTTTCAAGCAACAGACAAACACATAAAAAAATGAAATGTAGTCTTGAACTATTTTAGTGAAAATGTCCCACCATAAAAGGATGTATAAAAAGTTTGCTATTTGTTTTAAATTGAATATTTCCATGAAAGAAATGTATCTATGTAGACAGAGCCAGTCTCTATCCAGAATTGCCTTCCTTTCACACTAACGTACACTGTCAATATTTCAGTCAATATCTCAGTCAATATCTCAGATTTAAGGAGGCTGGGGGGTCAACAAATTAACCACCAGATATAACTTAATTTTTTATATATGTTATCTTAAGCTGTCAACTATCATTTGGCAAAGAAAAATTTCAAAAATTTTAGTTTAAAAATTTGATCATTTTCTATATCTTCATATGGAGCTCTTCTTCTAAAGGAGATCAATATAGTCTAAAAATGGCCACAACCCCCCAGCCTCTTTAACAAGAATTCTTGTAAAACATATCTAGATCTTCAGGATACCTTTATTCTCACATTAAAATTTATTTCTTTAAACAAAAAAAAAAAGAAAAGTAAGAAAGCCGGAAAGGCTCATTTTTGACAAGATCAAAAATATTTAACTCGCTATAACGAGAAAATTATCTCGTTATAAGGAGCTAGTATCTTTATAACGGGTTAATATTTCCTTATAACGGGTTAACATCTCATTATAACGGGTTTATATCTCGTTAGACAGATTTCGTAACTCGTTATAACGAGAAAATTATGTCGTTATAATGAATTATATTTTTTTTTATTCCGCAAAAATGAGCCTATCGGCTTTCGTAGAAATGAACACATAATGCTTGAAGATATTCCATTGTAATTGTTTTTGGATTCAGAGCTCTGTATGTTTTGTTTTGGATTCAGAGCTCTGTATGCTTTGTTTTGGATTCAGAGCTCTGTATGCTTTGTTTTGGATTCAGAGCTCTGTATGCTCTGTTTTGGATTCAGAGTCCTGTATGCTTTGTTTTGGATTCAGAGTCCTGTATGCTTTGTTGTGGATTCAGAGCTCTGTATGCTTTGTTTTGGATTCAGAGCTCTCTGTATGCTTTGTTTTGGATTCAGAGTCCTGTATGCTTTGTTGTGGATTCAGAGCTCTGTATGCTTTGTTTTGGAGTCAGAGCTATCTGTATGCTTTGTTTTGGATTCAGAGCTCTCTGTATGCTTTGTTTTGGATTCAGAGCTCTGTATGCCTTGTTTTGGATTCAGAGTTCTGTATGCTTTGTTTTGGATTCAGAGCTCTGTATGCTTTGTTTTGGATTCAGAGCTCTCTGTATTCTTTGTTTTGGATTCAGAGCTCTGTATGCTTTGTTGTGGATTCAGAGCTCTCTGTATGCTTTGTTTTGGATTCAGAGCTCTGTCTGCTTTGTTTTGGAGTCAGAGCTCTCTGTATGCTTTGTCTTGGATTCAGCGTCCTGTATGCTTTGCTTTGTTTTTCGATCAAGTACGCTGTCATATTATTATCATTTTAGCCTTATAAGATGTTTGCGTCAAAATATCCAATGTATAAAACTTAATAACATAATGACCGTGTAAACGTAAATTGTAGTAAAATGTAAAATAATCTGCGTCTGCTTCAAATTAAAAAAAAAGGATTGCTAGTTTAAACATTCCCGAAATATGTAATGTGTAAAGGAAGACGAAAACAGACCCAGGGGTTGAATCCTGCCCCTTCCCCTCTAACTCTCACAGACTTAGATTCCAACCACCGGACCACCAGGCCTAGAAAGAGCGTCTTCACCCTTGAAAAGACGCAAGATCAGGATACCATGGATACTGTAGTGATAATTATTGTAGGACGTAACCTCAAACCGTTAAATCAGGACAAGAGAAACTCCTTATCATACTGGATCCAGACATTAACCTCAATATCATACAAGATCCAGACAACATTAACTTCCTTATTAACAAGATCCAGACAACATTAACTTCCTTATTAACAAGATCCAGACAACATTAACTTCCTTATCAAACATGATCCAGACAACATTAATTTCCTTATCATATAAGATCCAGACAACATTAACTTCCTTATCATACAAGATCCAGACAACATTAACTCCCTTATCATACAAGATTCAGACAACATTAACTTCTTTATTAACAAGATTCAGACAACATTAAATTCCTTATTAACAAGATTCAGACAACATTAAATTCCTTATTAACAAGATCCAGACAACATTAACCTCCTTATTAACAAGATTCAGACAGCATTAATCTCCTTATTATACAAGATCCAGACCACATTAACTTTCTTATCATACAAGATCAAGACAACATTAACTTCCTTATCATATAAGATCCAGACAACATTAACTTCCTTATCATATAAGATCCAGACAACATTAACTTCCTTATTAACAAGATCCAGACAATTTTAACCTCCTTATTAACAAGATTCAGTGAGCATTAACCTCCTTATTATACAAGATCCAGACCACATTAACTTCATTATTTTACAAGATTCAGACATTAGTAACTTCCTTATTAACAAGATCCAGACAACATTAACCAGTTCATAAAAATGTGTCCTCTGACTTAATGGCATGGAGACTGATATCGTAAAGATCTCTGTATGAGTCTCCTACATTAATTACAATATGATTCTACCTCTGGAACTTCCAGGGTCCGTGTTTTATGCTCTCTTCATCACTTTGTATTGTTTGTAGGTTTTTTGAAAATGATTTCTGTTCGTTATCTTCGCCATTTTTTTGTCAACAGTTATTTCAAAGCTATTCCCGCTTAAAAAAAGTTAAAACCAATTTTTGTCAGTATCTTAAATTTGAAAATAATCAGAGTTGCTAATTTTAGTTATCGTCACCCTGTTATTTACCCTGACAACAAAACCCAAGTTTGAATTCATCTGTATTAAGAGTTTGGAGGTTATATATACAACTTCTAATCTAATAGATAAAACAGCATCAACGTATTGTAATTCTATAAATCTAAGGTATATTTCAATATTAAAAGAATCTCTCTGTACAAGTGATGTTGAAGCTGCCGATGGTTCATTTATTGATTATTGCAATTAAATATTTAAAAAGACACAGAAAAATAAAATTTTCCTTCTTTTTCTGTCTTTTTGTCTGTTTGACTTTCCTTTAAAATATTGACAATAATAATATTTTGAAAACATTCTGATAATTTTTTTTTGAAACAAAAATTACACATAAATTTTCGATCGAATTTTAATTAAATATTTGCATATGGTATTACGGGAATATGGCGGAAAATGTGTTACAAAATATCCCATGAAAGAACAGCATTCAAAACAGATATAAACGATATACATAAATGTAGAAGACACGAGACATAATATAGAGTTGTCTCCTCTTGTGTGTAAAAGTTTTAGAGATACATTAATAAAAGCAATACGTAAAAACCATGAGGTGGATGGTGAACACTTTAGTCGGTGATTCTCTAATTTGAAGCGATCAGAATCATTTATTTTATATTTTCTTCATTCCCCTAATACGACAGTTTCAGCATGCAATGGACATAGACAGTGTCTTGAAAAATAAGTAGACAAAAATACATAATTTTATTTATAAATGCACAATTGTTTCTTTTGATTATTAGTTCTCAAATAATACGTTAGAAACATTCTATATGAAACAAAACAGATTGATAATACTATATATATCCTACTGACCTTGAAATATAAGATACCACAAAGTAAGACTCATCAGATTCATTTTGGGGTTGTTTACTAAGCCTAAATTTTTTATGGCCAACGCCTAAACTTTATTTAAAAAAGGATTGCTAATGTTCCTAATATCAAATTCCCTTATTTGTGTAGTAAGATAATATTATCCCCTGCAAGTGGTGTTAATATATCTCAATCGATTCGAAACATAAGAGTAGGCTTTGTGTTTTATCAATTTTTAAAACCGAGACAGATTGGCTATAAGTGCTGTTAACGAGTAATTAACATTCCCCTTGAATGTCAGTATTGCGCAAATTCTATAATCATTAAAATGACCTTATTGCCTGATGTGAAGATCAAGAGGAAAAGCTCACAGCCTATGTGGTCTGGTCAACAGGGAATGCCTAATCGTCCATGATACTTGATCCCACTTTGATTTACTATAGTGACCATTATGAAAACATTGATTACTATAGTGATTACAATGAAAACTTTAATTTACTATAGTGATCACTGTGAATACTTTGATTTACTATAGTGATCACTATGAACACTTTGATTTACTACAGTGATCACTATGAACACTTTGATTTACTATAGTGATCACAATGAAAATTTTGATTTACTATAGTGATCACTGTGAACACTTTGATTTAGGATAGTGATCAATATGAACACTTTAATTTACATGTACTGTAGTGATCACTGTGAATACTTTGATTTACTATAGTGATCTCTATATATATGAACAATTTGATTTACTATAGTGATCACAATGAACACTTTGTTTTACTATAGTGATCACTATGAACACTTTGATTTACTATAGTGATCACTATGAACACTTTGATTTGCTATAGTGATCACTGTGAACACTTTGATTTACTATAGTGATCACTATGAACACTTTGATTTACTATAGTGATCACTTTGAACACTTTAATTTACTATAGTGATCACAATGAAAAATTTGATTTACTATAGTGATCACTGTGAACACTTTGATTTACTATAGTGATCATTATGAAAACATTGA